AATATTAGTCATCGCACAACGTGGCTGTTATTGTGTACAAAATTCTCTTGGTTCTGCTCACTTCACTCAGCATCAGACCATACAAGTCTTTCCAGATTTTTCTGAAGTCCAGCTGTTCATCATTTCTTATAGCACAATAGTATTCCATCACATTCATATACCACAACTTGTTCAGCTATTCCCCAATTGATGGGCATCCTCTCAATTTCCAATTCTTTGCCACCACAAAGAGAGCTGCTATGAATATTTTTGTACATGTGGGTCCTTTTCCCATTTGTATGATCTCTTTGGGATATAGCCCTAGAAGTGCTATTGCTGGGTCAAAGGCTATGAACATTTTTATAGCCTTTTAGGCATAGTTCCAAATTGCTCTCCAAAATAGTTGAATCATTTCACAACTCCACCAACAATGCATTAGTATTCTAATTTTCCCACATCTTCTCCAACATTTATCATTTTCCTGTTTTGTCATGTTGGCCAATCTGATAGGTGTGATGTGGTACCTCAGAGTTGTTTTGATTTGCATTTCTCTAATCAATAGTGATTTAAAGCATTTTTTCATATAAAGCCATATAGATGGCTTTAATTTCTTCCTCTGAGAACTGTCTGTTCATATCCTTTGACCATTTATCAATTGGGGAATGGCTTGTATTCTTATAAATTTGACTTAATTCTCTATATATTTTAGAAATGAGGCCCTTATCAGAGAGACTGGTGGTAAAAATTCTTTCCCAATTTTCTACCTTCCTTCTAATCTTAGTTGCATTGGCTTTGTTTGTGCAAAAACTTTTCAATTTAATGTAATCAAAATTATCCATTTTGCTTTTCGTAATGTTCTCTATCTCCTGTTTGATCATGAATTCTTCTGTTCTCCATAGATCTGATAGGTAAACTATTCCTTGCTCTCCTAGTTTGCTTATAGTATTAGTACGGCAAGGATTTCTTAATCATTTTTGCGTCAGGGACTGCTTGAGCAGTCTGGTAAAGCCTATGGACCACTTCATAGAATAATGTTTTTAAAAGAAAAAAAAAAGGATTAGAAAGAAAACCAATTACATATTGAAGGGCAATTATTAAAAAAAAAAAAAAAAAGCAACAAACAAACTACAAGTTCAAGGACTCCAGGTTAGGAATTTTGAATGGTAGCTTAAAAAATACTGTGCTCATCATAAAGTCATTTCTATGTAAAACAATTGTGTTGGAGAACAATTTTCTCTGATTTCCTGTGACATTTTCCTACCTTTCACGCCTCTCCTTCAAAGAACAAGAGCCTGATTCAGGCCTCAGCCTGGTTTGTACTGCTTACCTCGGATCTAAGTATACTTAGTAATAGTAAGTGCTATAGACATAATGATTGATTTATAAATGCATTCATATTCTGTTCCCACCCCTCAAAGAGGTATTTATATTTCATTCATCTAATCCAACCATACACCAAAATCTAAAATATACCTCGGAGGCATCAAGTAATGTAAGTACAAGTGCTGACAGCCCTAGAAAAGGTACGTGGCCCAGTGGCTCAAGAGTTCAGGAAGACCTAGTTTAGAATCCCATCTTAATTTTATTAAGCACTTACTATATGCCAGATATTGTGCTAAGATAAGGTTATAGGAAAAAAGGAAAGAGGGGCAGCTAGGTGGCTCAGCAGATGGAGCACTGGCCCTGGAATCAGAAGGACCTGAATTCAAATCTGGCCTCAGACCCTTAATATTAGCTCTGTGACCCTGGGCAAGTCATTTAACCCAGATTGCCTTGAAAAAAAAGAAAGAAAGAAAAGAAAACTCAGCCCCTGCCCTCAAGGAGCTTACATTCTATTTGTGGAGATAACATGTATGAATTTATGTGTTACATATGTGTGTATGGATACACACACATGATGTGTATAAGGTTTATACAAATAGATACAAAGTAACAGGGGGGAAGCGCTTGCAAATACGAAGGTTGAGAACTGCTTTCTTCTCAAGATTTTGATTGAACTGACAATTTAAAGAATCCAGGACTGGGTTGACTCATGACTGTAGTCCCTGCTGCCAGAGAAGCTGAGGTTGGTGCATAGTTTGAATGCAGGGCTTCTGAACTTCAGGCAAATGGGATACTCACTGTCCAGCACCAATACGATGAGCCCCTTAGAGACAAGTGCAACCAGGTTGCCTAAGAAGAGGAGAACTGAAGCAGTTTGGAAACAGCAGGTCAGAGGTTCCTTCTGTGCCAATTGGTTTTGGGATTGGCCAGTTGAGTGACCAAATACACATCCAGCCCAGGAAAAATAGTCACTCAGTTTGCAAGCAAGCAAAAAACAAACAAAACAAAAACAAACAAACAAAAAAATGAACCTAGGCATTCTAAAAGAAGCCGATGGGTAAGGGGAGTATTCCAGGGATGGGGGGGACAGCCAGTGAAAAGGTATGAAGATAGAGTCAGATGATAATGTATGAAAAACTGCAAGCAGGTCAGCAGACCAGTATGGTGAAGAGAAAGGGCTGGGGTGGGGGGGCGGGGAGTAGAGAGCAAGAGGTAAGAGGATTGGAAAGATAGGAAGGGTCTAGGTTATAAACAAATGAATGAATGAAAAAGTCCTTATTAAATACTTACCACGCTTAGAACTGCGCTAAATTCAGGCAATAAAAATACAAAAACAAAGATAGTCCCTTCAGTGGAGTTTGTGTCCTAACAGAGAATGATAATAAGGACAATGACCACAAGCATTTTAAAAAAATGGCTAGCATTTTTATAGCCTTTGAAGGTGCTTAGCATATTTAGTAGACACTTAAGAAATGTTTATTGACTGATTTTACAAATACTATCTCATTTGATCCTGACAATCACCCTGGGAGGTGGGTGCTATTATTATCTCCATTTTACAGATGAGGAAACTGAGGCAGACAGAGGTTTAGTGATTCACCCAGGATCACACAGCTAAGTAGTATCTAAGGAGGGATTTGAACTCAGGGCATCTTAATTTGAGGTTCAGCCCCCCTCCCCTCACACACACACACACACACACACACACACACACTCACTGCCTCAGGTGATGGATGAGTGGTACCCAACAGGTGTAGATTGACATACTCCTTCCAGGAACAAAGGCAGAGTTGATACGATCATAGTTTCAAAAAGGAAGACAAGGAGGGGTGTGAGACATTTTGAGGTTGTTAAAAAGATTCAGAGCGGAGCGCCCTCTTATGCATTCTTGAAATAATGGGCCAGGTGAGGCAGAAGTAGGGCAGGGCAGACTCTGTAGAGACAAAGTGATTAAAATCTCTAAACCAGATCTCTTTTATAAACTCCTCCAAAGCAAGGACCATGGATTTTTTGTTTGTTTATTTTGGTTTTTGTGTTTTGTATCTCTCTCTGTTTTGTTTTTTGTTTTTTTGGGGGAACTAGGCAATGGGGTTAAATGACTCGCCCAGGGTCACACAGCTAGTAAGTGTTAAGTGTCTGAGGCCAGATTTGAACTCAGGTCCTCCTGACTCCAGGGCCTGTGCTCTACCCACTGCTCCACCTAGCTGCCCCTTCTTTTGTGTCTCTAATCCTTAGCATATAGTAAATATTTGTTGAGTGACTGTTTGACTGACAAAGCTGGTGTGATGAGTGGAAAGTAAAGGGAAGAGCTCACTATCTATATGATCCTGAGTTAGTCTCTTTATTTCTCTGGGCCTCAGTTTCTTCATATGTCAAATAGGGATAATATGCATGCTGCCTAAGAGGATTGTGATGAAGCTCTGTGGAGAGAATATATAAATATCCCCATTATTATCTTACAGATGAGGAAAATGAAGTTTAGAGACATAAGTAATTTACTTGTAGTTACATAATTAACAAGGGGTAGCAGGATCAGGATACAAACTGATGTTTTCATTCTTTCCACAAAATCATCTGTAATCTGTATCTGTATTATATGATCTCTGGGGTCTCTTTCAGCTTGAAATCCAACAAAAGCCTACTATTCCTTTTTTTTTTAATCTTTCTTTCTTCCTTTTTTTTTTTTGCTAGGCAATTGGAGTTAAGTGACTTGCTCAAGGTCACACAGCTAGTAAGTGTGTCAAGTTTTTGGTCTGAGGCTGGATTTGAATTCAGGTCCTCCTGACTCCAAGGCCAGAGCTCTATCCACTGCGCCACCTAGCTGCGCCCCCCCCCCCCCCCCCCCCCCCCCCCCCCCCCCCCCGCCTACTGTTCCTTAAGGATGCTCTGAGTTCTTCTGTATCAAGATTTATGGGTGGTTGTCCTTCATTCCCGAAGAGGATCAAAATGACATCGCCATGCCAGAGTCAAGTTCCAGTGTGTCCAATTGATCAGACCAATACAAACTCAGAATGTTCTACCACAGATCGGGCACAAATAGTCCCTGTGAACATTTGGGGTGGGTTCTCTAAATCTGTGCATCTCACGGTTTTTTTGTTTGCTTTTTTTTTTTTTTTCTTTTGGTGAGACAGTCGGGGCTAAGTGACTTGCCCAGGGTCACACAACTAGTAAGTGTCAAGTTTCTGACATCACATTTGAACTCAGGTCCTCTTGACTCCAAGGCTGGAGTTCTATCCATTGCGCCACCTGGCTGCCCCTCTCACGTTTCTTTTGAGCTGCTTCAATTCTGCTTTGCTCATAGAGCACAGCACCTTCTCTGACGTGGGCACGCCATGCTGAGCGCTCCTATGCCAATGTCTCCCACGTCACACAATCAATTCCAAAGTTCTTAAGAGAGACCTTGAGAGTGTCCTTCTTCTGACCACCATGTGAGCGCTTGCCTTGTGTGAGTTCTCCATAAAATAGTCTTTTTGTCAAGTCTACATTTTGCATTTGGACAACGTGGCCAGTCCATCGGAGCTGCGCTCTCTGAAGCAGAGTTTGAATGCGTGGCAGTTGTCTGGAATCTTAATCTGCTTGGTGATCTTCAGAATCTTTCTAAGACAATTCAAATGGAAGTGATTCAGTTTCCTGGCATACTGTCCAGGTTTCACAGGCATACAACAGTGAGGTCAGGACAACAGCTCGGCAGACCTTCAGTTTGGTAATCAGTCTTCTCTCCCACACTTTTCCTTCGGAGCCTCTCAAGCGCTGAGCTAGTTCCGGCAATGCGCCCATCAACTTCGTTATCAACGTGTACATCCCTGGAAAGTATACTACCAAGGTAAGGGAATTTATTCACAGCATTCAAAACCTCTCCATTTGCTGTAACCAGTGGTTAGTAAGTGTAACTGCTACTGTACAGTGCCGTAACCGCTGGTGTAGTGGCGGCTGATGGGTCACCTGTGTTTTCTTGGGGTTAATTGTTAGGCCAAAATTAACACAAGCAGCAGAAAATCCATACTCTGTAGCATCTCAGTTTCTGAGGCTGCATTAAGTGCAGTTATCTGCAAACAGAAAATCATGCACCAACACTCCCCACTTTGGTTTTGGTTTGTAGCGTTTTCAAGTTGAAGGATTTGCCATCAGTGCAGCAGCTGACCTTAATGCCATGTTTGTCTTCATCGAAGGCGTTTGACAACATGACTGAAGACATCAGGCTAAAAAGCATGGGAGCAAGCACACAGCCTTGTTTCACTCCATTAGTGACTGAAAAAGTAGGAGAGCTTTGTCCACTATCCAGAACCCAGGCAAGCATGCCATCATGAAACTGATCAACTTTCCCGAGCAACTAAATTTTGACATAATTTTCTATAAGCCCTCACTACTGACAGTATCAAAGGCCTTGGTTAGATCTATTAACATTGTAGATAGGCCTCTGTTCTGCGCCTGGCATTTCTACTGGAGTTGTTGGGCAGCAAACACCGTGTCGGTGGCTCCTTGGCCCTTTCTGAAGCCACACTGGCTCTCGGGTGAAGGGTCAGCCTATTAAGGAGGACTCTGGCAAGAACCTTGCCAGCAATACCTAAGAAAGAGACCCCCTTGTAACTATCACAGGACAGTCTATTTCCTTTATCTTTATGGAAATGAACAATGAAGGCAACCTTGAACTCCTGGGGGATAACCTCTTGCCATATAACCTGAAAAATTTCAGTCAGCCTTTGTATGAGCAACGGACTCCCTGCCTTCTAAATGTCAGCTGGAATAAAATCTGCACCAAGTGCTTTGTCTCTGGGGAGGGAGGGAGACAGTTTGGAACTTAAAATGTAACAAGAAAGTAGAAAAAAAATTTTTTTAAATAAAATAAATCATATGGGGGAGAGGGGAAGAAATTATCTGATCTCTGAGTCCTTCCAGCTAGAAATCACATGAAAGCCTACCATTCCTTAAGGATTCTCTGGGTCCTTTGTCATTTTCACATGAAAAATTCCCCTTATTTCCCCTCTCTGCTAACAGGCTTCCAATTCTTAGGTGGTTAAGCTGTAAACACCTAAAGTCCTAACTCTCTGGGGACTGCTAATCCTGCATAGCCCTCACATTGACAGGGACGGACTGGGCCTGTGAGGTAAGCTCTTTAAATAGTAGCAAATGCTCCCGGAGTCACCGGAGGCGTGTGCAGGAGGTCAGTTGGCTCCCCGGAATGCTTTACAAAGGACAGGGGACTGGTGCTGAGTGGGAAGGAGGGTGAGGCACCTAGAACTATGAATCTTGTGGCCCGGTTGTTTTTCTTGAAGGAACCACTGGACCGAACTACTGGGGCTCACTTTGGCGGTGAAGAAGAGTATGATCTTTTCTGGCCAAGGTTGGAGAACTCTGCGATCTAAGTTAGAACTAGAGCTGTGTCTGCCCCCTGCCCACCCCTGACTTCCTTTAGGGACTCATGGATCATCCCCCAGCTAGAAACAGACCTAGACCCAGGGGAACAGACTACCCAGAAATCCAGTCACCTCCTTACACTGCTGTGGTTAAGATTCTGCTTCAACTCTTTGTCTATGTGGCTGTTGTATTGTTTAGGTAATGCATTTTACTCGTCCTTCTCTGTCCCTGGGGCTCAGGTGTACAGCTTTTACCTTGCTCTTGCCAGGGGAGGGAGCTGGGTGTGTAGGGGGTACGGTGGGGGGAAGATGTGAGAGTGGGAGGAGAAGGACCCAAAGTCCTAGTGAATTTCATCTCAGCTCTACAATCCCGGCAAAAGAGTGATGGGCCATTTGTCCGTGTAGTCATTTCACACATTTTTATTTTGAAGGGAGGGCGATGGATACAAATCGCCACCCTAGGAGACTGTTAATGGCCTGGCTTCTGGGGTGTGCCCACTATGCTCTATGGAGATCACCCAGGTTTGATTCTGGACTTTCTGTGGCTTTTATGGGCAGAAGAACGTTGCAACTGAAGTCATAGAAAAACCATATTGGAGACAAAGAGCAGTGGGGACATTCTGACTTCATTCTATGTATAACATTTTTCTTGGTTGCCCACAAGTTTGGGGGAGTAATTCTATTCCTTCTTTATTGCTGTTACGTATCAGCTTTGTCACAATTAGCTCTTTCATGGATTAGAGCATGGACTATTGAGCCTAGGTCTTTGTGTGTACTCTGTCACTTATAGTATGACCTTGCCTAAGTCATTTAATACTTGGGGTCTTGGTTTCCTCATCTGTAAATTGAGAATAATAATAATGATAAATGATGAGAATAACACTACTACCTCACAGGATTGTTGTGAAAAAATTGGTTTATAAACCTCAAAATTCTACAAGGTTCTGAGGCTATATCCCAGCAAGGTCAAGTATCAGTGAAGGAAGGAAACACATTTCACCAGCTGGGAGTTTTTCTTCACTACAGGAGTTCCAGCATGGACTGGATGACCACTCACTAAGGCTGGTGTACATATGCACTGAAGGAATGCTGGTTCAGTCACCTTTTGGTCTAGATGGCCTCTGAAGTCCCTTCCAGCTCTGAAATTCTGGGGTCTCTAAACACCATCAATCAGCCCTTATATAGAGTTTTAAAGTTTGCATATTAAACATTCAATGTTTGCTCATGGATTACATTGTTTGGGCCCTGATTGACTCAGAATGAATGTAAATAGCAATTGTTGCTCCTTTGGCCAGAAACCCTGAGGGTCTTTCCCTCCCAGATTGATTTTTTTTTTTTTTTTTTTTTTGCCTGGGTGAAGAGGCCATTCTGTGCCTCATTTCTTATTAAGCCTTAATCTCTTAATCACTGAATGGGTGTTGCTTCAGTTAAACTGAGACCTGTTAAAGCCCTTAGCTTAAAAAGGCCAAGGTCTCCCACTGCAGCTGGGGCCATCTCCAGTTGTCCAGATCTGTGCCTTGCCACTGGAACTCGATGGCTCCAGAGAAGAAAGTGAGGCTGGTGACTTTGCACAGCTCTCTCTCACTTATATCCAATTCACTTGTATGTCATGTGGCATCACCTCCCCGATGTCGTGGTCCTCTTTGAGAAGGAAGGACAAACAACAATAACAACAACAATTTTATTTGTACCCTACAACAGCCCTGTGAAGTAGGTATTAGAGGAGGTACTGGGAGGTCTCATAGATAGTAAATGTCAGAGGTTTTGAACCCAGATCTTCTTCACTTGATACTTCATTTTAATTTTGAAAAATTTTTTATTTTTAGGCAATTAAGGTTAAGTGACTTGCCCAGGGTTACACAGCTAGTAAGTGTCAAGTGTTTGGTCTGAGACCGGATTTGAACTCAGGTCCGCCTGACTCCAGGGCCGGTGCTCTATCCACTGCTCCACCTAGCTGTCCCTGATACTTCATTTTATAAAAGCATACTTGTATAATTATTTTTGTAATGAGAATCTGGTATCTATATTCTGTTTCAGATTTTCCATCAGGCGTGTTAATGCATACTTTAATACAGTTTAAGGCAATGCATTTGTACAATTAGATTCTCATGAGATAGCTAGACTGGACTGGATTAAGGACATCTGTGACACCTTACTTAGTAGTTGGTCCAGCCCCAGAAGGATTATTATTAAACCCGCTTTCAATTCACATGTATGTATAGAATGAGATTTCCTAAAATCTCCAACATCAGTCACCGTTTTTAACAGGTTTTCCCTTTGTTCTCCTTACAAGTAGAGAAAGCTAGCATTATTGCAGTATTTTACATACCTTACTTCATATGGTCTTTATGATACTCCTGCGGGGTAGTTTGTATAAATATTATTATGCCTGTTTTACAGATGAAGAAACTGAGGTCTGGAGAGTTTAAGTGATTTGGCCGCTCTCACACAGCTAGCATGTGGCATAGCTAGCAATCAGCTTCACAATTCCAAGTCCACAACCCTGTGCTGCTAGATAATTTTCTACCTTAGTCAAATGGGACAAATGTCAAGGGTTCTGTTTCCCATAGGGCCCTGTGGGTTGGACTAGTAAGTCTTCTCAGTCAAGTACACATGGGAAAAAAAAAAGGATCCACAATTGTAGTCAAGTGTAACGAAGAAAATTACAACATTATTGTGTGGTTTTGCAAGCCAAGCTTTTTCCTTCAGGGTGGGGTAAGAAATCTTTTTCTCCCAGTTCCTAGAATGTGTCTCACTGTGCCTTCCTGATCTCATTTTGCTGTTTTCGCAGCTATGCCGAGGAGCTGATTTCCAGGAGGTAAGTTTCTTGAATTACACCTGGGCACTCCTTCTTGTGCACAGATGTGTCTAACTAACCAAACTAAGTGATCCCTGAAGACCAGCTGGGTGGATGTGAATGGCACAGAAGGGAGCATTAGTTAGAGAGATAGGGAGAGGGAGAGAGACAGAGACAGAGAGATAGGGAGGGAGAGAGAGAGAGAGATAGAATAGGGATAGATAGATAGACAGATCATTGATTGAGCATTTACTATGTGTGGGGCACTGTATTAAGTGCCAGGAATACAAATACAAGCAAAAGCAAGACAGTCCCTGCCCTCATGGAACTTATATTCTAATGAGAGGAAGACAACATATAAAAGAATGCTGAAAGGGGGGATTGGTGGGAAGGACTTGGTATCACGGTGAAGTCTGGAAAGTCAGTGTTGGAGCTGGGAGAGGAATGAAGGCCAGCTGTCCTCTGCGATTTCCTCAATGGAAGAATCATTTCATCTGCAAACACAACTTGGTGTATGATAGATTTGGTTTGAGTAATAGTTTAATAATTCTAGGTGAAGCTGTGTGACTTGCTTTAATCCACACTAAGCACCTTCCCTCCAGCGGCTCTACCCTGATTCAGTAATCCCTACGTGTGCTCAGTTGGGGAATAAAAATATGAGAGCATTGACAGCTGACATCTATGTAGTGATTTAAGGTTTGCGAAGGGTTTTACATACAATTTCTCACTCAAACCTAACAAAAACCCCAGGCCATAGCTACTACCGATATTATCTCATTTTATGGATGAGAAAACTGAGGCCCAAAGAAGTTGTTACTTGTTCAAATCCTGGATGCAGGATTTAAACTCAGGTCTTCCTGACTTTGACTTTATTATTCTGTGCTATTAGCAAATGGGGCAGACAGGTGGCACAGTAGATAGAGTGCTTGGCCTGAAATCAGGAAGACTCATCTTCCTAGTTCAAATCTGACCTCAAAACACTTACCTGGGCAAGTTACTTAACCCTGTTTGCCTCAGTTTCCTCATCTGAAAAATGAGCTAGAGATGGAAATGACAAACCACTCTAGTATCTCTGGCAAGAAAAAACAAGAAAAATATTATCACTTGGGGTAGTTACCACAGCCTCTCTACTGGAACCCCAACACCCCAGTGACCCAGACCATGGCAATGTTGCATGTCAGTGGAACAAGTCAATAAGGTACTTCTACAAGGTTGTCTTTGTAAACACTCCTAGTTCTTGGAATAATTAAACCATCACAGGGGTTTTAGACTCAAATGAGATAATGAATGCAAAGCACTTTGCAAACCTTATAGTCCTATAAAAATGACAATAGTAGTAGAAGTAGTTGTTGTTGTTAGCCTCCAGTTGCTAGGCATCTACTCTGGTGATGACTTAAAGTACTATACAAATGCCAGTAGTAGTAGTAATAGTAGTTGTTGTTGTTGTTGTTGTTGTTGCTAGGCATCCACTCTGGTGATGACTTCATACCCTGAGCTTCCTCCTACATACTTGCTGAGCCCAAGCAGTGTTTATAGAACAAACAGGGGTGGGCTGATAAATGTTTAGCACCTGGGCTCTGGAAGAAAAGAATGTTTGCAGATACTTTTCAGTTTATTCTGCATTATTAACATTTTCTTAAGCCTAGATAATCAACAAAACAATAAATCAACCCCTGATTTGTAAATCTGAGACTGAGGTGTAAATGCTCATGCTGAAAATTTAACAGTCAGCTCAATGGATCCAGCATAGCTCTGGATCAACTCCCTGGGGGCTCCCTATGACCTGAATGACTGTGTATGTAGGCATGTATGTATGTACGTGTGTATGTGTCTGTATGTAAATAAAGGTATACACACATATGTTTGTGTGTGCATATGTGTATATATGTATTGTGCAAATGTGCATGTAATTTGTATGTACGTGGTTGTTTGCTTATTTGTGTCTCCTTCATTAAAATGTTAGAATGTGAGCTCCTGGAGGTCAGGGACCATGTTTTTTTACTTTCTTTGTATCTCCAGCACTTAGTACACTACCTGGCAACGGTAGAAACTCAATTAATGTTTGTTGATGGCTTGATCGACTGACCTTGAAGTATGGGAAATTTCCATTGGGGGAAAAATAAGAAGAGAGAGAGGGAGGGAGGGAGAGAGACAGAGACAGAGAGAGAGAGAGAGAGAGACAGAGAGACAGACAGATGGTGGTGGCCACAGAGGTGGCGGGAGCTAGAGTTTCCATTGGCAAAGGAAAAGTTTTTCTGTGTTTGCATGAGTCTGAAACAGTAATTCCCAAATTACTACTGATTGATATGCTAATGATGATTCCAAATAATATTACAGCTGATATAAACCACTCATGGATTATTTTCTAAGTGTGCATGTACCTGATTAAAGACATATTAGGGGCAGCTAGATGGCGCAGTGGATAGAACTCCAGCCTCGGAGTCAGGAGGACCTGAGTTCAAATCCAGCTTCAGACACTTGACATTTAAGTGATCCTGGGCAAGTCACTTGACCCCGATTGCCTCAGCAAAAAACTAAATAAATAAATAAAATAAAGTACTGATTAAAGCTGGGCTAAGCCCAGCTTAGATCTAGGTGCCCTGGGAGCACAAGAGAAATAAGCTACCATCTCCCTTTAAGAACTTTATAACCTGTAATGCGGGGGCTGGACGACACTTTAGATATTATTTCATCTTACACTTAAGGAAACTGAAACCAAATTGAATGACTGATTGATCTTGGGAAGCTGTTAGATGGAGAGCTAAGGCATACACCCAAACAAAGTATTAGATACATGAATGCCAGTGCCTTCTTTCTTTCTGAAGAGGGATGCAAAGGAAGGAAATGAGCCAAGCCTAGTGTCTTAGATCTGGGAAGAGTATGGTGGACTCTGAACTCATTTTACAATTGTTCTAGAAAGAGTAACTGGAGATCAATAATCTTTCCTTAGGTATGTTCCTTCCCTTATATTTCAAAATTGCCCAGCAAAGCTTTCCCTGGGCTCTGAATGTGAAGGGCACATTTGCATTTCTAGTATTCTTAGAGATTAAGAAATGGAACTGCGGGAAAAACCCAGATTGCCCACGCTGCCCATCCCAAGATCCTTTCCTTTATAGACCTTAGTAAACCTAATGGGTTTCCCACTCATTAGACTCTCAACTCCTTGAGAGCAGGGTCTGCTTTTTGTTTTTAATCTTTCTTTGTCTACCAGCGATTAGCACATGCCTGCCTGCCTGGAACTTAGTAGGAAGTTAATAAATGCTTGTTGACTGACTAACTTAAGGAGTAGTCCCTGGGGAGTAGGGATTATGGGGCAGTAGACAATCCAAGTGGTCCATTTCATTAAATGACTATAATTTTTTAAAAGCCGACAAAATTTTTGCAGATTGAAGGACAAATGTGATACACACATAGCTATATGTACATTATATATATATGTACACACATATATACACATCTATTAAAATATATGGGCCAATAATAACTGTTATATTAATATACTAACCAATACTATCTAAAATACAAGTGCAGTCAATGCATAATCAATTACACACTGGCTTTTTGTCATTGCATAAATTCTTAATTGATTGTTACAGAGTTCCCCAGATCTCTCTCTCTCTCTCTGTCTGTCTCTGTCTCTGTCTCTCTCCCTCTGTCTCTCCTCCCTCTCTCTGTCTCATCTGCTTAGATCCATCTTTTCACCCGTTTGAACATGTATAGTAGATCACAACAATTTTCCACATTGATCATACCCTAAAATATACTTACCTCATTCTGCATTCTGAGTCCTTCACTTCTCTATCAGGAGATAGGTAACATGTTTCACCATTAGTTCTCTGGAATCCTGGTTGGTATAAGAATGATAACATTTATGAATCAAAGTTACATAAGAATGTACATTACTAATTATATAATTATGACAAGATAATTATAAAGGATAAGAATTCAGCAGAATAGTATTCCCTCATATTTGTTTATCATAACTTGTTCGACTATTCTTCAATTTATGGGCTCCTTCTTGGATTCTGATTCTTTGCTACCTCCAAAAGAGCTGTAAATATTTGTGTATATCTTTAGAATTTGTTTGCTTAGAACTAATCCCTCCCTTAATTTATTGCTTTAATTTCCCCTTCCTCCTTTTCCATTTCCCTCCCATTTCCTGTTGAGAGAAATGTATTTCTGTACCCAGTTGTGCGTATTTGTGTGTTTTTTCTTCTTTTGACCAGTTCAGATGAGAGTGAGACACAAATGTTGGCCATTCCCCATCCCACGTGCTCCTTGGTTGCATAGATATCTACCTGTAAACCTTGATGTGAGATAATTTTCCCCAACCTTCCTTTCCCTTCCTCCCCCTCCTCTAGGGAATTCTTCCTACTCTTTCTTTCCATTCTTTTCTTAAAATCATAACAGAACAACTCTCAGGCCTTATTGAATTAGATTCCCTCTATGAACCCAGATGATGATAGGGATCAGAGAGGACAAATGTATCATCTCCCCATCTTTGAATGTAAGCAGATTGTCTTTGTTTAATTCTTTATCATTGCTCATTCATGTTTAGTTTTTATGTTTCTCTTCACTCTTGCATCTCAGCTCCAAAATTTCTCCACAGCTCTGGTCTTTTCATCAGGAATGCTTTGAAGCCCTCCATTTTATTAAAGGCCCATTTATTTCCCCATCGCAGTTTTGCTGGGTTAAGTTAATCTTAGCTATAAGCCCATATCCTTTCCCTTATGGAATTTCATATTACAAGCTCTCTGCTCCTTTGTAGTGGTGGCTTGTAAAATTATTTGTGATCCTGACTGTGGCACCTCAGTATTTGAATTATTTCTTTTTGGATGCTTGTAGTACTTTTTCTTAGACTTGGAAGCTCTGGATTTTGGCTATGATGTTCCTGAGAGTTTTCATTTTGGGGTTCCTTTCAGGAGGCTTCAAGTGGATGCTCTATGTTTCCATTTTGTCCTCTGGTTGTAAGAAATCTGGGCAGTTTTCTTTTGGAATTTCTTGGAATATGATGTGTAAGC